CAAAATATTTACAAAAATGTGAGGGGTGTACTCACTTCTGTGAGATACTGTATATATATATACACACACACACAAATGTGTAAGTGTGTGCTTAATTATTTAAAAAAAAAAAAAACTTTTATTATTATTTTCACGACAATAAAGAACATTTCCCACACAAATTTTATTCACAATTATTCACAAATTCAAAACGAATAATATTTGCATAAAAAAAAGTAAAATTATTTTGCATTTTGGTGTTATTTTCTTGACAATAAAGAACATTTCCAATCCACATTTTGTCCATTACTGTAACGTAAGAAATATTTTTTATAAGTAAAAAAATTATATATATATATACACACACACACACAAATGTGTAAGTGTATGTGTTTAATTATTTAAAAAAATAAATAAATACTTTTATTATTGTTATTTTCACGACAATAAAGAACATTTCCCACACAAATTTTATTCATTAAATATTAGTTTTCTATTTTTTTATTTTGTTGTATTATTTTTATGTAAATATATTTTATATAAGTTGTTGTAAATGGCCTTAATTTTTTATTTAAAATTTTCCACATTTTATTTGTGTAGTGCTTTTCACAATACACATTGTTTCAAGGCACCTTTAGAAAAAAAAATATAACGTTATATGTTACATATATTTCAAATTTTTCTTTTGATTTCAGACTGAGTCACTTTTATTTAATATATATATTTAATTTATTTAATGTGATATTTTCATGACCGTAAAGCACATTTCCCACCCAATATTTTAGAATTAAAATATATTTCATTTAATTAAACATGTTTGTAAAAATGTGTCATGAAAATAATGTCCCAATGAAAAAAAATCTCAATTGTTCTAAAAGGTATTTTTTTAATGGAATTTTATTTAATTTATTTTTTTTAAATTGTATAGTGCTCTTCACAACACATTCTTTCAAAGCAACTTTAGAACATTTGTATATATTTCAGAATTTTCTCTTGATTTACAGTCACGTTGCAGGATTTACATGATTGAATATTTCTACATGAACACAACCAGTACAAAAGTATGTTAGTGAAACAGCAGCAAAATATCGACTTAACCCTCCATTTGATCAGAAGACACTCTGCTCTTACCTTTGCTGAACTGTTTTTCAGAAACTTCATTCACTAACTCCAGCAAAGTTTCCAGCAGTAGCTCCTGAGCGTTCACACAAGTGCAGATCACTATCACGCAATGTTTCTGTGACGATAATGTCAAATTTTTGCCTGCTGTCTCAAAGAAACCAAATATTAGCTGCATGTGAGAGAACGCAAACCAGCCACAGAAAGAGTTGAAGCTTGTTGAAATACAGTGAAATCCTCATTTACTAAGACACGAGATGTTTAAATCAGTCTTGAACAGCTTTACTGAATGACGCATTAAAATCACAGAACGTCACAAGGAGGAAAAGAAACGGTTTCACTTAAAAAGCAAAGCTAATAAATCAATACAGTTCTGCCTGTGATGCAATGCTGTTAGTCTGACTGAGAGTTTAGAGAATCATTAACTGCCCAGAAGGTCATATTGATTCATCATTTATGCCAAATTAACAGTATTAATTACAGTTACAATCACACCTTCATTCAGTCTGTTCTGTTGTGGAATATAATGATTTCTGTACTCTGATGAAATGAACCACAATAGGCAAAAATCATAAACCCATAATAGTTACGACAGGTATTGTTTTTTTATTTTCTAACATTTTTTACTTAACTTTTAACATAACAAATGTGTAGCATTTTAGGCTTAATTTTAATCACACGGAGGAGAAAAGGTGAAAATAAATGTGATTATTTACACAGCAAAGCAATTAATGATAGTAAGAATAAATAATATTACAACTTTCATAATGCATGTTATGGTTTCACGTAGCCCAAAACAGACGATAATAATTGTGATCACTTTTAACAAAGCAAATAATGATAATAATAATAAATATTACAACTGCATATTATGTTTTATTTAGATCGCATAAAAACGCCACAGTTATTCAAAAGAATTAATCTGTCATTCATTTTCATTTATTTATTTATTATTTTTAATTTATTATTTTCTACTTAACATTTTTTTTATTTTAATTTTTAACAACAAATGTGTAGCATTTTAGGCTTAACAGTCACATGTAACGAAGATGAAAATAAATGTGGTTATTTAGATAGCAAAGCAATTAATGATAATAATAATAATAAATATTACAATTCTCATAATGAATTTTATGTTTTCTTCAGAAAGCGAAAAAAAAATGACACCGTTATTTAAAATAATTAATTCATCTTTCGTTACTTTGCTTATTTTTTTATTTATTATTTTTTACTTAACATTATTTAAATTAATTTTGCCTCAGTTTTTTAAAAATAGTTAATTAATCTGTCATTTAACATTTGATATT